GTCTCGCGGTATAAAGGTTTTCCACGGTTCGAAACCTGACAGCGACGGAAATGTTCTCTAAAATTCTCCCCTTTTACCTGTTCTCTAACCATCTTCTGTCGTCTGCTTTCGTCTCCACTTTCTTCACCCATCCCCCACCCCTGCTCCCTCCTCCGAGATCCTGACTCTTTCTTTCTTTGTTTTAGTAAGTGTTTTAACGGCACTTGCAACACAATAAGGTCATATTAGTGTCGAAGAAAAGAGGTGTTACAAAAGAGTAACAAACACAAAAAAGAAAGAGCAGTGATAAGGACGATAGATGTTTGATAGAGAAAGAAGGGGCAGATGACACCAGAGCACTCGCCAACCACCCATCATCTTAATGGAGATCAAAGCCATCACTGAGGCCCTAAAATGGCTTCGCACTAATGGAAACCAGAAGGCTACCTTTGTTGCAGACTCAGTCAGTAGTTTGGATAAGATCCTGACCGACAGCCTCTGTGCAGATTGGTTTTTTAAAGACAATCCAAGACAGTAAAATCAGACGCTTGCAGTGGATCTTCTGCCCAGGACATGCAGGAGTCAAGGAAATGAAAGCAGATAACCTAGCAGGCTCCGCAAAACATAGAGGGAGTGCTTACTCTCGATCCGCCAACTGTAATAGCCCTTATCTGAGATCGCCTAGCGCCGTGAAGAGGACTCCTTCACGAAGGAGATTGTGATAGAGAAAGGAGTACAGCCTGGTGAAGGCAGGAGAAGCAGCCTGCGTGACGTCATCAGAGGCTACAACAACCAGCTGATGATGAAGACAATCAGCCTGCCCACACAGAAGTGGACCCTTATGAAGAGGGGCGAGAGAGAATGGAGCACCCTGTCTTCGTAAGACCCCAGTCCTACATTCAAGTACTCAAGTAAGTATTCAAAGAGAAGTCATTCAAAAGTAAGTTGCTCGCCTGCAACAGCAGACGCCTGCGAAGAGGAGCAGGTTCAACCAAAACTCTCAGGTTCAACCACACACACACGCAGGGGGTACACAGGCAGAGCGCAGGTAAGGCCTATGCCGTTGTCGTGTGCGTGTGGATGTTAAGTCAACATAGCGCTTGTGAGGACACTGACTTCCGCGACACCCGATTTACCGTGACCCCACTCTTTACTTGTGACAGGGGCTTTTATCCCGCCCTCACACAGAGAGAATGAGGAGAGGCGATTGTGGATGTAAAAAAGAGAGATGGGGAGAGGAGGGGGGGGGTGATTGGGAAGGGCAGTGGAGAGGGAGGGAAAGTTTGTACTGCTATGGATTTTATCAGAATTGTATTACTTTTAGCTTTGCATCTTTCCAACCCTAAGAAAAATTTGCTTCCCTTTTTCCCGTTCTCAATACATTTAACCGCCCAGCTCTAATACTTGCGCTCCTTGCGTTCTATTAAACGAATTGCTAATTCCTTCATGATGATATCAACCTTCCTGTTTAATTCAAAATCGTCAGGTCTACCAGAGAGCTCTTTCTGTAGTTAGAGAGAGAGAGAGAGAGAGAGAGCGC